GTAGTGTATAGTGGTTTTGCTTTTGGTACTTTTCTGTTCCTGTCTCAGAGCTCTCCTACTCTGATCTCATTGTTGGCAAAGCTGAAGCCACAGCTGTGATAAATCCAGAGAAATGTGCCCACCCCCTGTCTGCCCGCCTGTCTTTGAAAGGTACCTTCAGGCTGCCACTGTAGTACTGTGTCACACAACCGGCAGCCACCATTACAGGCAGAGTCTTTTTAAGTCAGTTTCTGCCTTGGTGGTTTAATTTTAAATTCTCCCCTCCTTTTAACACCTTCCCTAGCAAATCCAATCCATCCTCTGGCTTATCTGGGTCAGCAAGGGTCTGATTTTATGCATGGCCCTGTCAGACCACAAATCCGCTGCAGCTTTTCCTCTATCGAGCTTGCCTGTTTCTGTCAGCATCAGCAAAATGCATAATAAAGAAAATAAGCCAGAAAGGCTAATAACACTCATCTGAATAAAATAATCTCTTTGACTGCTTCAGTTCATTTCATTTTAATCAAGGTGCCAAGAGGGAATTTAGGTTTGCATTTTTTATTTATTTTATTTCTTTGCATTCAGCTTTTCTCATCACTACTTTGCTGTCAAACCATCACTAAATGAGCTCTTTTATCATGCACATACCTGTTTTTTTTTTAAATCTTTCTCATTGGAGACTTAATAATATATACTGAATGATGAATTTAACTCATTCAGAGTTTAGTCTGTCATTTCAGAACTGTTATCTAAGAGTGAAAAATTATATTCTTAGATGCGTTGATAATTGCCAGCTTTTTAGAAATTGGCAGGTCTGAGAGGGATTCTGCTATGGGGCTTTGGAAGCTGCTGGTGCTTCTGGGATTCTGGGCTCCCTTTGACTTCTTTGTCAGCCTCAGCACACAGTGCCCACTGAGGAACACAGGACTGTTGTTCTACCTTGTCTCTTTGTGAAAGTAGGGTGGAATATGGAAGTCTGCTTCTCTTTTGGTATCTGTCTCTTGTCTTCCCAGAGACATACAGCTGCTTGGTTAATTGCCTGCCACCGTCTTATCCCAACTGTAATTTGCTAAGGGTTATGCACTTTTAGCAGGCTGCATTCTTGGCTGTGGCCCAGTGCCTGTTGAGGAACATGTTGGAAATGGATGAAAGCTAAATCCTCATTTGTTTGGAAACGGAAATAATAACATTTCTCACATTTGCATGGTGTTTTGTGTTGCTGAAGTTTTCTTGCATCCATCATCTCAGCTAATCTGCAGCAGCCTTGAGAAAGGGCAAATAATAGACTGTGGACCCAGAAGGAAACCTCCGTACAGCAATGTAGAAGCTCAAGCCATCCACTAACACCAAGCTTGTGCTCTGCAGAGCCATGAATATGGATGTTGTTAATTAATTGCCATTCCAGACTATAGGAGCTTCTGGGAACTTCACAGTGATCTATTGAAGATCTTTCAGGAGCTGGATGGGGCACTGTCCATTTTGTAGATGAGCTGGTAGAAAATTGATGGGACAAGTGTTGATTTTGTGTGTGAGCTTATTGAAACAACCAGAGGAAATATGAGGGGGTGGTAATATATAATGTAGAGATTTTATGATTATGGAGCTTCTTTTTCCTTGGCCATCTTAGAAATCCTTCTAGTGATCTGTTGTTAAGTGTTTGGGCATCCATAGATGTACTCTCTATTGAGGGAGAAAAACTGGGCTCGTGTCTTCAAGTTAATGTTCATGATTCAGTTGCACGGGTTTTATCTGGTCCAGTGCAGGGTAGTGATAATCCCCTCTGTAGGTGCACACTGGCTTATGACTTTCTGGTTTCCTTCCTTTTCACTGGTCCTCTCTTCTGCAGCACAGTGTGGTATTTTCTTGATCTTCCTGAAATTTTTAAGTAAGAAAAATACTTTTGAATATTTTGTCTACTTTTTAGAGATTAGTGTTTAAGGAGGTTCACAGCTGTGTTCAGTACATTCCTAAGGGATACAGACCCTTTTCTTTAAATGTCCTGGCATTGTACAACCTGAGACTGGGGGTGAGGTGAGGGATGAAGGACAGGGAAAGCAGAGACATTGTACTAACAAATGCTAGATGGGAAAGATATAAAGACAAATTTTAATCTCCTAACCAAGTGAAGTTCCCTCAGTTTCATCAACTCCAAATCAAAGAAGCCTGCAAAACTACTAGAGCAGGAAGCCATCTTCACAGAGCCTTGGTACACCTCTGTGAAAAAACATCTCATTGACTTGATTATTTCCCAACCTGAAGTGTGTTGCAGCTTTGTTCTTGTTGGCTGGGAAAATTGCCTGCATAGTATACTAATGTTTCCTTCTTCCCGCATTCTTTTCACCTTTCTTGTGCCAACATTGCCCTAAAAGAAATAAAGCATCTGTTTTTGCATATGTTTGTGTGTGTGTGTTCGTATGTGAATATACTTTTAAAGTATGGAGTTTTAGAGTTTATTAGAATCAATCCTTATGAACAATGAGGCTGTGTTTATTAACTAAAAATATTGATACTAGAATTATGAATAAGAGTTGTACTTCTGTATAGTTTCATCATCACATTATTTCTGGTTTGGGTTTAGGTTCTTCACTATTAAGAAAATTCTGCAGAATGGGGATATAGCTCCACAGTAGAGTACTTGCCTAGCTTTCAGTACAATGGTTCAACCCACAGAAGCTCTTGCCACCTCTCAAAAATAAATTCTAATTCATACATGAGTAACTATACTCCTGGTATAATTTTAAATTGATTTAGATGTTTATGAAAGAATAATATTTCCTCTCCTAACACTGAGGGATCCAGGTATTGAACCCAGGTTATCAGGTTTATATGGCAAGTGCTTTTTACCTGCTAAGCCATCTTACCAGCCCATTTAAAATAGTACTTTTTGGGGGAATGGAGATAATGGTTTAGTGGTTAAGGGCACTGGATGCTCTTCCAGAGGACCTGGGTTCAATTCCCAACACCCACATGGCAGTTTAAAACTGTCTGTAACTCCAATTCTAGGGAATCCAACACTCTCACATAGACATACATGCAGGCAAAAGACCAATGCACATAAAATAAAAATAAATAAATCACTAGGTAGTACTTTTTAAAATTGTGTATGTTTTTAAGAATAAAACTGTTAAATAAAACTGATCTGGGGATCACTTTGAAAGTTTCCTTTCAATAGGAAAATCATATGTCATTGAATACATGTGCTTAAATCTGTCACCCTCTTGAATTTAGGGTTGTTTTCTATTTACCCCCCCCCCATGCTAAACATTTTAAAGGGAATAGATTAATTATGTGTATCTTCCCCCCTTAGCTAGTGCATTTTTAAATTTCCACAGAAGTCTTTTTAATTCCCTAGAAAGGTGATGGTCATAATATAGTGCAGTGGTTAGTACTTAACATTAGCAAGTTTGTCTTGAAGAAATATGATGGGAGGAGGTAGGGGACAGGCTTAGAAGAGTTTCAGTTTAGACTCAAAAGTGTTCACTGGTTTGAAACAGCTCCTTAGATTTGGTTAGATAAGTGTTTGATTTGCTAGTTTAGAGTGTGGTGAAGCCCAGTGAGGTGTAGTGACTTTGTTAATAGCTGTGACTGCAGAATTGAAAACCTTCTGCATTGAGCTCTGAGCTCCACAGATCACAGTTGGCCGCCTCCTGCTCTGAATGGAGACAGTGCTACTTGCTGTTTCTGTGCTGAGAGTCTGACTGGAGGGAAGGAGGAGAAAAGGAGTAGATTTACAGGTTTGATTCCTTCCTGTGGTCAAGAGCACCATTGGCAGTGACAGGCACTGGCACTTTTTAGTTATGTCACTTAGACAAAAACTTGAACATTTCTTTTTCCTTTGGCTCTCCTCAACTTTCTGATCACCTCTTGTGGGGTTTACAGCAATGTAAAGGGTCCAGCCAAGGCAAGCACATAGTATACCTTGATAAACGGCACCATAAACGAATCCTACTTCCCTTTTCTCTACTTAAAGAAACCCAACTTCAAGGTGTATGACTAGCACTGTTCAAAATTAGTATGCAAACTGAGCCGGTAATTGATATGCTTTGGGAATCACATTGTTTTCATTTGAATAAAGGTTTAGAATTTTATGGCAGTACCAAAGCATGAATGAATATTAGGAATATATATATATATATTCAAATAAGGTTGTTTTCTTAATTATATGGGACTTAAGATAATGGTTCAGTCAATGCTGTCCAAAAAAAAAAAAAAAAACCAAACCCAAAAACCTCTTTATATGTGTTACATGGAACTAGAGAGTCTTCTGTGAATTTTTCATGGCAGATATCTTCAATGTTTTTATGGAATCCTACTGTGGGCAAACTTGTAGAAGTTTTTGTTTGTAGTATTCTAGAGATTTTTGTCACTAATAAGATCATTTTTTTAATTTATTTTTAATTATGTGTATGTGTACATGTATGGGTTTATATACATGAGTACAGGTGCCCATGGATGTGAGAAGAGGGATCAGATCCCCTCCAGCCAGAGTTAAGAGTGGTTGTGAACTATATAATGTGGGTGCTGGGAATTGAACCCAGGTCTTAACCACTGAGCCACCTCTCCAACCCTTCTGATAGATAAGCTCTTTAACTTTGTCTCTGATGCTAAGGGTAAGCCAGATGACCTAAGCTCTAAGGTGTGGACTGTGGAGAGACAGTCTGATGTATCCTAGTCAGACAATGCAGAACGGCTGCTCTCTGCGTTCCTCTTGCTTTTTGATGGTGTGAGAGAATGACAATTCCTGTAAGCTTCAGTCTTCTAACCATGCAAATGAATTGGCCTATAGCCCTGAAGGCTCACTGCCACAGTGACCCTCTTCCTCCAGCTAAGCCCAACCTCCCCAAAATACATGTGCCTGGGTACGGAGCATTTCACATTGAAACCATAGCAGTAGGCTTTAGGGAAAGTATCTTTGTTTCTGCTTCTGGTTGATGACTGTGATTTTTGTGACATGAACTGTAATCATAGTTGCTGGCCCTTCCTGCTTACTAATATTATTTTTTTCTTCCATTTCTCTGCAGGAAGGACCAGAATGTTCTCTCTCCAGTAAACTGCTGGAACCTCCTCTTAAACCAGGTGAAGCGGGAGAGCAGGGATCATACCACCCTGAGTGACATCTACCTGAATAATATAATTCCTCGATTTGTTCAAGTCAGTGAGGACTCAGGAAGACTCTTTAAAAAGGTATATGGATAGATGTTCCTAGTCACAAAGGTTCTTGGCTGGAGCAGTGGCATGACTTTGTAATAAGAGAAAAGATATTTTCTTTCACTTAACAGGTTTTCCATTGACCATTCTATACCTCATAGTCTTAAAGGAAAAGAATGTTTGAAGTGGGAAACTTTTTAACCTTCTAAGCTGAACTGATAATCCTGGGAAGACACAGCCATGGACCAGCACCATTATCCATCAGCTTTATATACTGATACTGCTCTGGTAGCTTCCTTTGTGCTTTGCGAAACTCTTGGACTCAGGGCTCTTTAGTGTTGTGCCATGTTTTCCTCATGTACTTCACTTAGCAATTCCTATATGTTTATATTTTGAATTCAGTTTTCTTTCCAAGTTCTGTCTTAGCCAGGTGGACTCAAGGATTTGGTTATTCTCAGCATGGACACCTTACTGATTTCTGAAACTTAATTGTTACCTCAATTTATTGCATATAAATTGAGCAATTTGACCAAAGAAAAACTGAAAATAATTGTCATATTCTTAAGATACTTTTGTCAAATACCCCTATTCCTGTTAGTGCTGGTACCTACCTCTTGGGAACTCAGGAACCCCCTTTCTTAAGCTCTCGGTAGAGTCATTCTTTCATGAGGCTTGGTTGTAAAAAATGGTAGCAGAGACCCTGACTTCTGAACACAGGAGTAGTCTTCATCAGTGTTCTATTGCTGTGAAAAGATACTGTGACCACAGCCACTTTTATAAAAGAAAGTATTTCACTGGAGCTTGCTTACAGTTTCAGAGGTTTAGTCCGTTGTCATCTGTGAGCATGGTGCCACGCAGGCAGACATGGTGCTGGAGAAGTAGCTGAGAGTCCTACATCCGAATTCACAGACAGCAGGGAAAGAAAGAGACTGGGACTGGCTTGGTCTTTTAAAATCCCAAAGCCCACCCCCAGTGACACACTTCCTCCGACAAGGCACATCTACTCCAACAAGATCACACTTCCTAATCCCACTCAAGTAGTGCTGCTCCCTAATGAACAAGCATTCAAATCTCTGAATTTATGGGGGCCATTCTTATCCAAACCATCACATGTACCATGTCTGACATTCCCCAGTAAATTTCCAGAAAGTGAATGTCACAGGTAGAGGATATATACAGCTATTTATTCACTAGTTTCTAGATGACAACATCCAGTATTAAGATTAGAAGCTACATCCAACTACTGAGGGATCTGGATGCAGAGATCCATGACTAGGCCCTGGGTGGATCTCTGGGAGTCCAATTAACGAGAATGAGGAGGGTTTATATGAGCGAGAATTGTTGAGACCAAGGTTGGATAAAGCACAGGGACAAATAGCCAAATGAATGGAAACACATGAACTATGAACCAATGGCTGAGGGGTCCACACTGGATCAGGCCCTCCGAATGGGTGAGACAGTTGATTGGCTTGATCTGTTTGGGAGGCATCCAGGCAGTGGGACCAGATCTTGTGCTCATTGCATGAGTTGGCTGTTTGAAACCTGGGGCCTATGCAGGATTGTTTGCCTCGGCCTGGGAGGAAGGGACTAGACCTACCTGGACTGAGTCTACCAGGTTGACCTCAGTCTGTGGGGAAGGCTTTGCCCTGGAGGAGATGGGAATGGGGGGGGGGGGGGCGTTGGGGGGAAGGTGAGGGGGACGGGAGGGGGGAGAACAAGGGAATCTGTGACTGATATGTAGAACTGAATTGTATTGCAAAATAAATAAAAATAAATAAATAAATAAATAAATAAATAAAAAAAAAAAAAAAGATTAGAAGCTAAGTGAGAAAAATTTAATAATCAGAATTGTCATTGATGTAGTTATAGCTCTTAATCAATTTCCTAGTTCTTAACATTGGAAAATGTTTCAGATTTGATTAGACTTGGAATTAGTGCAGGATTTCTTCCATTTTTACTGGCCCGAACAAAGGACTGAGTACTATTCTATGTACTTAACTGCATCTATGAAGGGGCATTCTCTGTGTTAGAGGCGGGGTATTGAGGGTACAACATCTGAAAAAGAGGGAAAGATAACTCCTCTCACTGCTCACTGACAGTCTGTTGTGACCCTGCTGTTGAGGGCACTTTCTCCCATCTCTATGGTTTCTAGCATCTGCTCTAGTTTACTTATTGCTAATCTGAGTTTCTCTGTAACACACACTAATACGTGTTTGTATGACTGAAATCACTTTTTTAAATGGATTCTTGGCTGTGATCTCTTTTGCTTTTTGTGACCTTGACACCTGCTTCAACTATCTTAGACAGCCCTGCAAAACTGGTAGTTTCTGCCCCCATTTTCTCTGTTCATTTGAGAACAGTGCTTCCATGAGAGGTGTTTACCTAACTCAATTTCAGGCAGTCTATCGGCTTCCTTTTCTTCTAGCCTTAAAGTATATTAGTTCCTTGTCTAATAAAACAGTATGACCAAAGGCACCTTATAGAAAGAAGGGCTTACTGGACAGATGTCTCTAGAGAAATAAGAGTCCATCAAAATGGAGCAGCATGACAGTAGATGTCGGGGTAGTAGCAGGAGCAGGAAGCTGAGAGCTCACATCTCTGATGCAAGTGTGAAGCAGAGAGTGAACTGGAAGTGGAGTGAGGCTTTGCTCTCAAAGCACACCCCCAATGACTAGTTCCCTCAGCAAGGCTGCAGCAACTAAACATCCCCAATAGCACCAACAGCTGGGCACAAGTACTCCAATGTCCAAGTCTGTGGGGACATTTTTCATTACATCACCACAGAGAGGAATAAGCTGAGAGAGATTTGTAGCCTCTCCATATCTCAGAGAAGTCTGTGGTAGCAATAGCCAGATATCAAAACCATTAGTGTCCCTGGCTTCTCAAATGCCCATCTACATTTCACCAGAGACCTGGAGCATGCCACCTCTAGAAGGAAAATTCCATCTGTTAATGCCTTTACTAACCAAGACCTCAGGATTGACCTCTATAAGCTGTATTCTTACACTGATGATGTAAGGAAGAATTTACTTCTCAAGATTGTTTATGATACTTCATAGAACAGTGGTTCTTCCTGATGCTGGGACCCTTTAATATAGTTCCTCATGCTGTAGTGACCCCAACCATAAAATTATTTTCATTGATACTTCATAACTGTAATTTTGCTACTGTTATGAATCGTAATGTAAATATCTGTATTTTCTGATGGTCTTAGGTGACCCCTATGAAAGGATCATTCAATCCTGAGGTTAAGAACCACTGTCATAGAATAAAAACAAACATATAATAAGTTTGTAGCTCAGTATATTTTCATAAACAGAATAGACCTATGTAACTAGTTCCCTGGTCAGGAATCAGAACATTTCAGTATTCCAAAAGCCTCATCTTCCTTTCCCAATTTCTGAAGCCCTAGGAGCAGCTACAGCCCTGATTTCTAACAGCAAACTTTGGTTGTGCATGGATTCATACTTTGTATGAATAGAATCACACAGTATTACAGACTTGGGCCTAGTTTCTCTCAGTATTGTCTTTAAGTATATTACAGTATATATAAATGCAGCTCCTAAGACTGTTTCTTGGTTGTTGTAACTTGGTTTCAATATGTGATTACCAATTAAAGATATAAATAGGATTGTTGAATGGTCAATGTTTACTATTCTAAAAGGTGAGTAATCTCTTTTCTCTTCCCCTTGGGGCCCCAATGAATACAAAGAACCCTCTACCAAGTTGGTCAATAGATAAGAAAAGATTCATTTTGTTTGAATTCTGCTTTCTAGTTCTAGGCAAAAACACATTCTTCAAATCATAGTTTCCCACCGTCTTATTTAGAGTCTATTGAACCTGAAGAATTAGTACTCTACTGATAAAGATATAGAAACCAGATACGAGACGAAAGAAATGTGTCTGGGCTCCCTTTCTGTCTTATGTAGCTTTGTGCTACTGAACAGGAAGGAGGTCTTATCCAAGGGACCTTTCTCATGCTGGAGCTGCTATTCACTTAGAGAAACTGAGCTCAAGACCTGAACTTCACTATGTGCTTCAGTTCCCTAAAGTTAGAAAACAAAACAACAAACCCCCACAAAAACCAGTTTGGGATATGGTACCTTTGGTCCTACACAAGAGATTTCTTCTGGTTGTTGGGTAACGTCTGTTAAATTTTGAAAGGTAAATTGTAGACCCAGAGATAAAGACAAACACAAGTGAAGTGTGAGTATAGAGAGAGTTGACTTACACAGTAGAAAGTCCACCTCTGTTGAAGAATGATGCAGCATTTCAGAGGCTCCTCCAGTGACCAGCCACCAAGAGAGCAAACTGGAACTGTGGCACAGATAGTATCTTTCGTTTAACTAGTACATTTGTATCTAGTAGCAAAAACAAATCCCTTTTTCAGAGACATGGGCTTCAGAAAAGGTACTTTTATTTCTGATTTTACTGTGGATGCCTGTGTTTTATGTTACTCTATGAAATTTAGTGACAAAGGTTATGATAAGAAAAGTCAGCTTTTTAAACCCATATGTACCAAGTATTATGCTAAACATTTTCATATACATTATCACCTTTAATCCTTACAATGTATTTGTAGTTACTATTATCATCTCTTTTATAAAAGAGGAAACTAAGGCCAAAAGACATTAAGAAAAAAATGCAGCAAGGCTGGAATTTTAGTCCTGTCATCTGGATCTAGAAGCTGGTGTTTTCATCTACATCCTCTCTTGGGAAGCTGGGGCTATGGTGTGCAAGGAAGAGGCCTTACTCATTGCCATCGAATCTAGAAAGTCACTTAGGGAGTAGGACTAACATTTTTTTTTTCACACAAACCTCCCAAAAGCATTAACTCTATTGTTCCTCTCACCTGATATGGGAAAGCAGCTCAGAGTTGTGAAATAGGCAGCATGTTTTTCTCCCCAGGTGTAGAGTATCTAGCAAGCAAGAAAGAAAGACTCATTAAATGTGAGGTATGGCCAAGAATCTGGCTCATAGCTAATTCAACTCGTTTGGGGTGGTCAGTTAGGCTACACAATTGGCCCGTCTATGTT